ATATAAGAGTAATTTTCATGTGGATTTTGTATACTATAGATTGATTATTATTCATAAGTTCCCACTAACAGTGATTATGTTATTGGCTTAGCATTCCAATTTTCCGAGTAGAAAACAAGCAGTACGCTTCAAGTTAACCTTTGATAGTGATCAAGTTATGTGACAATTCTAGCTGTAAATCTTATTTTGTGACGTTTTTTTTCCCATATCCTAATATAAGTTCATCTTTGTACAGACCAAGACGTTCCCGTTCGAGCTCATATCTTGATAGTTGTGAAGATCCTACATGCAAAAATTAGCATCTTTATACTCGTATAAAGCTGGATGGTTTGCTTTTCAAAGCTTTGAAGACGGAGGCATGTAAGGCTTTTTTGAATCTTTTCCTCGGAAGCCATTTTGAATATTTTTTATATACTAGATCGGTTCTGAGTACCAAGCAAAGATTCTTGATTTTGTGTCAGTGATAAGGCTGATACTATGTATCGCATGAGTTCATTTCATTTCATAGTTTAATTGTTCAAGGACATCAAGTCCAATTCGGTCAAAACATTATTTTGTACTGTTTGATTGATGAAGATGCATGGAATTTTATACTAGACCTTAAAAATTCATGTTGTGCCTGTCAATTTTTCAGCCATGCGTTAATAGATAAATTATCCGTGAACGTTCATGTAGGTAAAAGGAAATTGGTTATTTACTAATATACAAGTTGTTTTATGCTATAGGCTTGCAAATCTGCTAAATTCCTGTTCAGTTTCTCTACCAGGCATATAATTGCAAGTAAAAATAAATGAAAGGGGTTTTTTCATGTATGCCACTCAAATATTTGATATTTGCAAAACTAGCCATCAAATCTTGGTATTTATAAAATTATTCCCCAAAACTAGCATATTGGGGTCTTTCTACTGCTCTATCTTATGAATGTTGCTTATTAAACAAGTCAATGTCAAAACTCCCAATAACTTTCAGGAGGTTTGCGACAATTTCCCTTTTAAAAACTAAAATTGTTAAGTGGAAGGGATAGAAAAAAAAACAAATGTGAGTGAAATGATGGAAATTTTGCAAATACGAAGATTTGAAGGATAATTTTGCAAATATGGAAGATTTGGGAGATATATATGTAAGAACCCCTAAATAAAAATATGCATAAAGTAGACAAATTAGACCTGTCCTATGACACCATCGAACACTATGTGGCTCCACCACTGCCTCAAACTGCACAAGGGAGTCATCACCATACTTGTTGGAAAGAAATGGTGGAGATATCTTGAACATGTTATATGAGGGGAACAATGTTCGAGGTGGAGATTTCTCTTCACGAAACTACTCAACCATGAAGAAAAGAGATTTCTACCAAACTTGGATTCTTAGAAAGACTGCATGAGAGGTTGATTCAGGTGGAGTCATCTTGAAGCCCGAAACAAGTCTAGAACTGAGTTTGGAGTTTCTAGCAAGCAGGTTAGTCTAGAACTGAGTTTGGAATTTCTAGCAAGTGGGTTAGCGTCAAGTCAAGAAAGAGCTTCACATCAATCAAGGAGCAGCGGTAATGTGTTATATCTCTGCATGATTCGACTTACAATGCACAAGATAGCAAGGAAGGAAATGACAATATCCGAAGGTGCCTTCATACGAGTCCAAAGTGGAGATTGTTAATATTTATCCTCATAGTCAGCCTAGAAGACACAAGAATGCATAAGGTGCTAGTATATATACTTGCAAAGATTCGAGAGTTTGGACAGTCACTTGACCACCCAGTTGAGGTTTCTCTCAGGCGGTAGTCTGATATTAACAATATCTGAATGAGGTTGCTCTCGGGCGGTAGACTGATATTAACAATAGCTGAAGGTTGCTTCATACAAGTTTAAAGTGAAGACTGTCAATATTTATCATCGGATGTCAGCCCAGAAGACACAAGAATGCATCAGGTGCTACTACGTAGCGGTGGTTGCAAAGACTCGAGAGTTTGGGCAGTCACTTTCCAGTAGACCGATTTGGATCAAACCCAAATTCTGCTAGGTTTTGTGAGCTATTTCTTTTGTATTCTGATAGAATCCTATAAATAAGGGTGTGTATCAGGTGAATCCTAGGATTATGTAAGAGACATCTGTGAGATCGATCGTGTAAAAGACTTTTGTGAGATCGATTGTGGTGTTTCTTGTAGATTGTGGTGTTTCTTGTAGAATGCACTGAAGAAGGTACATTATTATCCCTAGAAATAAGGTTGACTCAATTTTCTCGTGATAGAAGTAGGTATTTACCAAAGAAGAAATTTTCAAAATGGCCCCTAATCAAATTTTTTTTCTTCTAAAAATCGACCCACTTACGTTTTTATTACAGAAACATGCTCACTTTCTGGCCACGTCAGCACCGTGGCCAGAAAGTGGGTCTATTTTTTTTAACACCTCCCTAATTAGTCAGGATTGTCAACCCCGACTAATTTAGAATTCAGTTGCAACTTGTAAATTAGTCGGGGTTGGCAACCCCGACTAATTAGGAAGGTGTTTAAAAAAAATTGACCCACTTTCTGGCCACGGTGGTGACGTGGCCAGAAGGTGAGTCTGTTTCTATAATAAAAACGAAAGAAGGTTTATTTTCAAAAAAAAGTTGGGTTGGGACTATTTTGAAAATTTCTTCATTTACCAAACCGCGTTAAATCGCTATCTTTGCTTTCTTTTACTTTCCTGCAATGTTGTCTTGTGTGTTCAGCTTGTTTCAGATTGTTTGCTCTTGTAATCCAACTAGGTAGGTCCAGAAGAAGCTTCCGCATCGATCGTGATCCCCAACAATAAATTGCTTAACTTTGTGGAGAACATCGTCGGGGAGAAAGGTTATGGAGGTGGAAACTGATCTCTACTGGATTAAATCTGACTAAATTTTCCTCTTGTAAAACATATGACGATCTCGACTACGGCTTTCTGAGCCTTTCACCTGCATGGAATTTAATCCTGTAACGCATTGATCAAAATATATTAGAGAATTCTAAGTATTATGCGTCTCTAATGTTCTCTACATATGGCACTCCATATATTTTAGATCAATTTCTGCATCAGGATCGTACGGACAATCTTAGCCTTAGGCAGCCGTCTAACAAAACGATTGAGCTGCTACACCTGGGCCGAGTCTGTGATCATCTCTTGAATGCTTTCCCCATAAACTTGATTTTCTTCTCTTCGGCCCACTGAAGCAGCAGTCCAATCCCATCCATCTCTAAAAGAAGCAAGGGAATATTAGGATCGATCGATCAAAATTATAAAGACCCCACAAACTCCTTGGTGGAGTAGCACCGCTTGGTTGTACGGTCTGATGCCAGGCCGGTTAGGCAGGAATCCAGGAAAATGCATCCTGAAGTGTTGAGCTCCTTCGGTTAAAAAAGGCGCCAGGAAGCGAATGCTGGCTCGCCCAACCCGTCGATAGGGTCAAGGGTAAGGTATATTCGCAAAGCTTCATCAAAAACCCCCTAATCATCAAGGCAACCGCAAAATAGCTTCACGAATAATGATCTGCAGAAACACAGAGCTCCTGCTTGATAAATGAAAGTTGGCACAAGAAGGAGTACTGGTGAAGCTAAGTAGCTAATGTACGTAGGAATTAGCGGATAAAACGAGAATGAAGGGTACAGGAATTTCATTTGACGGTTTAAAGAGATGGTCGCTGCGCTCAACTTTTCTCAACACGATTCCCGAGATCTATATTTGAAGCAGTCATTTCGAAACATATGTTTAAGTGTGGCATGCACTTGATATGTCGACTTGTGATTTAATGATCTAAGACTTCATGCTTTATGGATCATTTAAGGAGCTGGAAGCCTTTGAAACAACAAATCAGAATAATCTTGAGAACTAATTATCTCGAGTATGAGACAATTAGTGCCTTGGAGGAAGCTAGTCTGGCGCAGACCTAAACTCCCTGCAGGATATGGAAAAGCTACTGATCACTTGAGCTCTTGGTAAGAAGAGGTCTGATTGTTTGTGCAGATTTTTTTTTTTTTTTCATTTTGTGGTCATGTACCTGAATCACTGTCTTTCTAATGTCAGGTTAGCAAGATGCTTTGGAGTGCTATTTTGTTGGATTTAATCAAATAAATCTATTTGTGGGCACATATGATTAATCAATGTGTATTGCTATCCTTCAGGATAACCCACTAAAGTGATCAATTAATTTGGGTTAATGAGTATTTAAATAAGTCATGGGGTTATATGTGCAGATACCAGGTTGTAATTGTGATTTGATGAGGGGCCAAATTGCAAATGTACAACATCTATAAATAAGGGGTTATGGTCCCTAATCTAGGGTTACACTCTCTAATTCTCTTCACCCCCATCTAGAGAGAAATTTGGCTAGAGAAACCCTAAGGTTAGAAGATCCAAAACGCATCTCAAGTTTCATCTATGGATTCGGGTATAAACTTCCGCTTCTTTTAGATTTTTGTTAATCTCTTTGAATTAATCATGGCTTTATGGTTTAGATCTCAAGTTATTATTAGATCTAACAAGTGGTATCAGAGCCACGTTGATTTGTTCTAAGAGATTAAGATTAAAATTAGGGTTTTTGATCTTAATTGTTTTTAGATTCAGTTTTTGTTCACGGATGAACAGTAACGGCAAAATTTTCGAATGAACATTTTTTGATGAACAGTAAATAAAAATGCCGGTGAACAGTATTTTTTTATTTTTTGGATTTTTCTTCGATTTTTCTTGGATCTGGATCAAGAAAACTCATTTTTTCGATTCTGGATCTGTTTTGAAATAAAATCGAGAAATTCTTTTAGATCTATTGTGTTTTGGTCGTTGATCCCGTGCTCCTCGCCGGCGAAGTGTCGCGGCGGTCTCGCTCTCAACTTCGACGGCGACGGCGGCGGTTTCAGATTTAACCATCTAAGGGTTCGTGCGTGAAAACGTGCGGGAATTAAGGATGTGGTTACCTCAAATTTTGGCGAAACTGAAAGCTTCAAACGAACTTCGCGTTCGTTCTCAAGTGAGCATCGCGCTCAAATCAAACGAACCTCGCGTTCGTTCTAAGGTGAGCCTCGCGCTCAGTTCTAAGGTGAGCCTCGCGCTCAATTTAAACGAACTTCGCGTTCGTTCTAAGATGAGCCTCGCGCTCAATTCTCAGGTGAGCCTCGCGCTCAATTTAAGTCGAACCTCGCGTTCGTTCTCAGACGAGCCTCGCATTCGTTCTCAGGCGAGCCTCGCGCTCGATTCAAACGAACCTCGCGTTCGTTCTCAAGTTGAACCCTGCGTTCATTTTCAGTCGAACCTCGCGTTCATTTTTCAAACGAACCTCGTATTCGTTCTCAAGTTGAACATCACGTTCATTTCAGACGAACCTAGTGTTCGTGCTTAAGTGAGTCTCGTACTCAATACAGACGAACCTCGCGTTCGAAGTCAAGCGAACTTCGTGTTCACTATGGTTAAGCCTTAGCTTCTCATATTAAATTATGGGTCCACTTTGGTATACTTAATTTATTCAATTAAGTTATGGACCCTATTTAAGCTATGGAAATTTAATTTAATTTGGTTTTTAATCAATTATTTAATTCAAATATTATGACACTAAGGTATTAAGGTTGTCTCTCACTCCAATTGATTAATTAAAACAAGAAGTTGCCAAAGTAACCTCTCTTGTGTAGATTGTT